AAAATTTGCTTCGGCGAGTAAGATTATGTATTGCGAAGATTATGGATGCGCAATTTTTGTTATATATAATTACACTTTTTAATTATAGTTAATCTTTTTCCTCTGTATAAATAATTTCTCTTTTTTAAATTAAAATAGTTAAATATTATTAACTATTTAACAATATTAAACTTACATCAAACTTACGACATACATATTTCATAATAATTATTGTAGTAGAATTTTTCATAATCAAAATACATGGATCTTGCTGCCTATCATAATATTTTTATGTGAATTTAAAAAATATAATTTTAAGTTCTACAAACTACGTGCTGATAATTATTGTTGAACTTGAAACAATAATAGTTATTATACAATAATAATTATTATTGTTATTATAATTATAAATTAATAATAGATAGTACACAGATAGTGCACAAGCAAGAAAGTCAAAAATGCGAGGCATATAATCAAGGAATGAGTCGTGTATGAATTATTAATTCGCCATAATACTTCAGTTTCAAATTTGGGAAAATACGAACCAAGTACGTATAGCGATAAACCGATTCTGACAGATTTATATCATGTAATGAACAGTTCTGGACGCATTAGTAAGTTTGGTTATTAATATTTTTTCACAGCATTTTATACTAACAATAAACAAAGAAAAATGAAAACAAGAGTTTCCACGTATATTTTGCACATTTATGCATACATGCATATGTATATGTGTGCGTGTGTGTGTACATATATACATGTAAGACAAAAGGATACAATTTATAAATAATTTAAAATAATTTAAATAATTTAAAAATGAAGGACATATTATATAAAATGAATAAAATCGTCTAGAAAAAACTTGATTATGAATTTGAATCCTTTTTTGCAATTAAAGATAATAAAATATAGTAACTAAAAAACTGAAATTATAAAATAATACTTAAAATAAGTATATTCCAATTGTCATAGAAAATTATTGGGAGTACAAATAAGTTTCCGCCGTTTGCAAAAGACGGCGCTACTAATAAATTATAGTTAAAATTGTTTGACAATAAAACGACATATCGTAAGATTGGATATCCTGCAACACCATAACCTTGAAATATTAGCGATTTTGTATCAGCATCAATATATTTTTTTTTGTACGAAAATGTTGAGTTTTGAGCCGAATAAGCGTCATTTGCGGGAACTTTTGATTTATTTCTTCAATTTGAAGAAATCTGCAGCTGAGGCTCATAGATTGCTTGTAGAAGCATATGATGATGCTGCCTTAAGTGAGAGAAGTTGTCGTGAGTGGTTTCAAAAGTTTAAGAATGGTGAATTTGACATCGAAAACAAAGAACGAAACGGAAGGCCGAAAGTGTACGTGGAATTGGAAGCATTATTGGATGAAGATTCGTGCCAAACGCAAAAGGAACTTGCACTTACATTAGGAACTTGTATTACTCAACAAACAATTTCATATCGTTTGAAATCATTGGGAATGATTCAAAAACAAGGGAATTGAGTTCCATATGAACTGAGCCGAGAAAAGTTGAACGCCGATTTTTCACATGTGAAATGCTGCTTGCCAGGTATAAACGAAAGGGTTTTTTGCATCATATAGTCACTGGTGATGAAAAATGGATCCACTATAATAATCCAAAGAAGAGGAAATTTGGGGACCACCTGGCCATGTTTCAACATCAACAGCCAAGCCGAATATTCATGGAAAAAAACTCATGTTGCGTATTTGGTGGGAACAGCTTGGTGTCGTGTTGCTCAAACCGAACGAGATCATTACTGGGGCTCTTTACCAAATACAATTGATGAGATTGAGCCGAGCACTCAAGGAAAAACGCGCCCACTACTACTCCAGGCATGACAAAATTATTCTCCTGCATGATAATGCTCGACTACATGTTGCGGCGCCGGTCAAAACCTACTTAGAAACACTCAAATGGGAAGTTTTACCCCATCCGCCGTATTCTCCAGACATTGCTTCTTCCGACTACCACTTATTCCGATCGATGACGCATGGTCTGAGCAGTACTTCACATAATATGAAAATATCAAAAATTATATCGATGATTGGTTAGCCTCAAAAGATGAAGCGTTTTTCTGACGCGGTATCCACATGCTGCCAAAGTGATGGGAAAAAGTAGCTAGCGATGGCCATTACTTTGAATAACATTATATAAAACTTTGAAAAACATTATACCGTTTTTTCACAATAAATGCTTAATTTTTGATAAAAAACGGCGAAAACTTATTTGTATTCCCAATAATTAAAGAAAATTAAAAGATAAGTGGATAAATTAGATATAAAAGAAAGGAAAATAGAGAAAACTCATTTATCAATTAATAAAATACATCAAATTATACTGGGTCTAGCTGTTTTGTATAATTTCTTTTTCCTCTTTTTTTTTTTACTTTCTCTTCTTTTCAAAGTCGAAGTGTTTGCAAAAGATTTTGTTTATTGTATACACCTAATAGAGATTATAATTATTAGCGAACTGACCTTTCATAGATTAATAACACAAATATAAAAAAATAAATATTATTTACTTATAGAAAAATTAATTTCTACCAGGTGTACAAGTATGAAATGATGATTTGAGAAACAGATGGCGCACCAATGCAGTGTGAAGTACAAAGATTTAACATTATACGCCAGTTTATTGTCCATCAACAAGTGTCAAACGCGCAAAGTGATTTGATTGTAAAGTGTTTGCATAATATTGTGTTGCTGTGTTTAATATGACGAAATTTGTATCAAATAAGGAATATTAATTCGCGGACAGCATTAATTTTTTATTTTCATTTGAAGAAAACTGCTGCGGAATCATACCGATTACTTGAAGAAGCTTATGGTGAACACGCTCCATCGTAAAAAACGTGTGAATGATGGTTTCAGTGTTTCAAAATTGGAGATTTCGATGTTGCAGACAAGGAACACGGAAAATCGCCCAAAAAGTACGAAGACGTGGTATTGCAAGCATTGCTGGATGAAGATGATTCACAACTCGCAGAGCAATTGAGCATTAGTCAAGTTGTTTCCAATCGCCTACGAGAGATGGGAAAGATTCAGAAGTCGGCAGATGGGTGCTACATGAATTGAACAAGAGATAGATGGAGAGACGCAAAAACATATGTGAAATTTTGCTCGAACGATACAGAAGAAAATCATTCTTGCATCGTATCGTTACTGGGGATGAAAAGTGGATTTTTTTTGAGAATCCCAAGCGCAAAAAATCATGGGTAGACCCAGGGCATCCACATCGATCGCAAGACCGAATCGCTTTGGCAGGAAGACGATGCTCTGTGTTTGGTGGGACCAGAAGGATGTGGTCTATTATGAGCTATTATTGAATCCTGGCGAAACGGTTAATACCAAACGCTATCAATAATTATATCTATTTGAACCATTCGCTGCTTAAAAAATGACCAAAATACCAAAAGAGGCAACGCAAGGTCATTTTTCTCCATGACAATGCTCCATCACATACGGCAAAACCAGTTCGGGACACGTTGGAAGTACTCAGCTGGGAAGTTCTATCCCATGCGGCTTATTCACCAGACTTGGCTCCTTCCGATTACCACTTGTTAGCATCGATGGGTCACGCATTTGCTGAGCAGCGCTTTGGTTCGTATGAAGATGTGAAAAAATGGCTCGATGAATGGTTCGCGGCAAAAGGGGAAGATTTTTACTGGCGTGGTATCTACAAATTGCCCGAAAGATGGGGAAAATGTGTAACTAGCAATGGAGCATACTTTGAATAAATCTCTTTTTATCATTCTTCCGAATTTAACGTGTTTTTTTTTCGAAAAAAATCGTCATTTCATACTTGTACACCTGGTATATCATGTATTTATTAGGTGTACAACTTTGCTTCCGCCGTTTTTTCCGAAATTCGAGGCTTTATTGTAAAAAACTGGTTATACATTTATGATTCAAAGTATTGTCCATCGCTGGCCACTACTTTCTCCCATCTTTCGGGTAGCGTACGAATCCCGCGTCGAAAAAACTGGTCATCTTTTGAGGCTATCCATGATTCGTCCAATTTTTTACTTCTTCATAAGACCGGAAGTGCTGGTCAGCTAGGCCGTGTGCCATTGATCGAAACAAGTGATAGTCAGAGGGAGCAACGTCTGGAGAATACGACGAATGGGGTAGGACTTCCCATTTCAACGTTTCCAAGTATGTCTTGACCACTTTCGCAACATAGGGTCGAGCGTCGTCATGCTGCAAAATCACTTTATCATGTCTCTCGTTGTATTGCGGCCGTTTATCTTTCAATGCTTGCCTCAAATGCATCAATTGCGTTCGATACCGATCGCCTGTGATTGTTTCAGTCGGTTTTAACAGTTCATAATACACTACGCCGAGTTGGTCCCACCAAATACATAAATACAAATACAAATAGAGCATGACCTTGGACATCGAAATCATCGTTCTTGTAGCGTTGAAACCACTCACGACACATTCTTTCACTAATAGCGGCCTCACCATAAGTATTTGAGAGCATTCGAGCCTCAGCCGCAGATTTCTTCATATTGAAGCAAAAAATTAAAACCTCCCGCAAATGACGAGAATTTCGCTCGTAAACTGACATTTTCAATCGAGAATAACTATGATGCAAACACAAATCGACTAATGTTTCTATGGGGTTATGTTGACAGATGCCCAAGTTTTATTGTATGACGTCTATGATCTATTTATTTCGATCATCACTTACCGCTAAAGCCATCTATAGGAAAACGGTGGAAGCAAAGTTGTACACCTAATAAATGGTTTTCGGAACGTTATAAAATTCAGAATGCGAGCCACTACTTGCGTAGCAGTTATGGTAGCTGTCAATGTGATGACAAAACCAAAACATAGTGAAAAAGTGCATTCTGTGCGCCATGAAAATTTAAGATTCCAAATGGATACCATAAAAATTAGGATAAGTATAAAAGAATAAGTTATATCCATAATAAGTTAGATGATGCATTTTATATTCATAAAGTAAAATTTCTTTTTCTTTTTTTTACAGTTGTGCAAATGGCAGAAGAATATTTTAATGCTCGGAATTATGGCAAAGTTCTTAGGTAAGTTAATTAATCTTTTCTCTCTGCTTATGATAAAAGCCTTCTAAATAAACTTTTGACATTTAATTTTATTTTCTTTAGACTAACTTTGTGTGTTAATTGAAATGTGAAATTTGATTAATCAGATTATTGATAAACATGTTGCGGAAATATTATGGAGAATGATGGCCATCTTATTCACAGATATCTTAAAGAATATCTAAAGAAATCTGCGTTGCGAATTGCATATTTATCGATCAATTCAAGATTATCTCACTTTGATTCTTGAAGCTTTAGAGCCCTCAAACATCATCCGTTTTTCGCAGAAATTTATTGATTAAATATATAATAGGAGCATGTTAAAGCATGCGACGCGAACAAATCTATGATTTCAAACTTATATCTTAAACTTTTTAAGATTACTTAAACTTAATCCTTACTAATAAATTCATAAATTTTACACTTGTATAATAATTGTATTGGGAGTACGAATTAGTTCGTTTTTTTGTGTTCAAAAATGCATTTATTTCAAAACAAAATGAATGAACAGATCAATTAAAGTATTGTCCATCGCTGCCTACTACTTTTTCCCATCTCTCAGGCAATTTTCGAATTCCATCTCGAAAAAATGACTCGTCTTTGGAGGCGATCCAATTTTGGAGCCAATTTTCGATTTCTGTGAAAGAAGTGAACCGGTGACTTGCCAAATCGTGCTGTATCTTTCGAAACAACCAGTAATCAGAAGGAGCAATGTCTGGAGAATACGGCGGGTGCGATAAAACATCCCATTTGAGCGTTTCCAAATATTTTTTTTACGACTTTAGCATGAGGCCGAGCATTGTCATGAAGAAGAATAACTTTATCATATCTTTGCTCGTATTCCGGCCGTTTTTCTCGCAATGCACGGCTCAAACGAATGAATTGTAGTCGATACCGATCGCCCGTAATGGAATCGTCAGCAGCTCATAGTAAACAAGACTTTTGGTCCTAGATACAGAGCATGAGCTTCGAACTATGAATGTTCGACCGTGTTGATGTTGAGATCGATGGCACGATTGACCGGGCTTAGCGTAGTATTTTTTCTTCTTGGGGTTATCGTAGAATATCCACTTCTCATCTCCAGTCACAATCTGATGCAAAAAACCTTTTCTCTGTTGTCTTTGAATCAACTGTTCGCAAGTGAAAAATCGCCTTTCAACGGTTCGCAAGTGAAAAATTGCCTTCTCTCGATTTCAGTTCATAAGGCATCCAATTTCCTTGTTTTTGAATCATTCCCATGGTTCTCAATCATACAGAAACGGCTTGTTGAGTTATCCCCATTGATTCTGCAAGCTCCTCTTGCATTTGATTCTGATCTTCTTCGAGTGCCTCTAATTCTTTGTCTTCGAATTTTTTTGGCTGTCCAGAGCGAGCTGATCTTCTTCGAGTGCCTCTAATTTTTTGTCTTCGAATTTTTTTGGCTGTCCAGAGCGAGGCTTGTCTTCAACGCTGAAATCTCCATCCTTGAAACGTCAAAACCATTCCCTACATGATTTATCAGTTGAAGCAGTATCACTATAAACTTCGACAAGCATTCGATGGGCTTCAGCCGCACTTTTCTTCCAATTAAAGCAGAAAATCAAAATCTCCCGCAAATGCTGCTTGGTTAACACAAAATTCGATATTTCAAACACAGTAAAAATCAAGATTTTTGTATGAAACTCAAAGCGATATAAACTGAATATTATTAGCAGATGTTTAACCTCTCTGTAAATCAGGTGTCACTATGAACCATTTACAACAGCTGGAGTCATCTTTAGGGAAACGGGCCGAACTAATTTGTACTCTCAATATATATTTATATATTTATATTTATATTTATATACATATATATTTATTATATAATTGAGGTACAAACTAATTTTGTAGAGAATATGTTTCAATATATATATAAATAGTTATTTAAATATAATAATTGTATACAATAATGATGAAATACTGAGTTTATAAAATTCTAATTTATGTTGTATAATTATTTAGATTAGTATTATTTATTATTTATAGTTGTTGTTGACATATTATTAATAAATCTAGTTGTAAATAAAACATTGATATTGTTGAACATACCATTCTTTAAGAATACAACATTAAATTGTGAACGTTTAAATGTTTTTACCATTGTAACTGTGTATTACAGTATAAGTTTATAAAAAAAATATAGCTAAGACTAATGACAAAGCAATTAGGGATTTTCAGTGTTCATGAACTCTTCTCCTCTTTACAGACATCCGAAAATATAACTTTTACTTATAAATCATCTGTTATCATTTTCATTCTGTGGTTGTAATTTAGCTTCTCAATAAAAAAAATACTAAATATAGAACTAAAATCCTTGTTTACCTGATGAAATATTTTGGACATTGTGGACTTATATTTGCATTTGCAATATTTTTATTTAACAATAACTTATTTAACAATAAGTATGAATAAATTTGTTTATAATATTGTTACGTCCAAACTCCGCACGCATGGAGTTGAAGGAGTGAACACAGCAGGAACTGAATTTTTGATCGATTTGGTCGCGTCCAAGCTCTGGACCACAAGGGAGCTGTAGAGAAGGAGCGACGCAAACCGGGAAGTCATTCGTTTCGTTCTGGGACTCATGAGGAGTCGGGAGAAATCTCACTCGCGGTCAATGCTCCACTGAGCGGACAAAACGAATGCACTTATTTAAGGGGCACAAACTGGGTCAGTGTGCCATGAGGACGTATTTTAACGCCAGATGTATCAGTGCGTTTGTTTGTTTTTCGATTATGGAACTTAATCCACGTTACCGAGGAGAGCGTCAATCGCGGGAAGATTAGGGATGAATACAAGGAAGGTGAATAAACAAGACAAAATTTTACAATAATAATATAATTAAAGAAAGAAAATGGAAGTTATTTGTATTTTTCTTTAAGATAAAGTTAGATCACCATACAACTTTCTTGGTTTATTATGTTTAACATATGCTTATGCGCATATGTGTAGATGATCGTGCGTGCGTGCGTGCATAAGGTAGATGTATGTCGAGTGCGGAGGGTTTGGAAAAGGAGGAGAGAATTAAATTTGAGGAAATTCGTAAGGTTAGAAGGAAAGTGGATTGATGGGAATGAGGGCTGAATGGAGATGTACTGGCATCAAAAAGAGACAGGTGAATTCTTCGATGCGGACTATCCCAATCGTTGGAAGAAGGAATTAAGAAGGATATGTATTTCAACTGATTGGCGTTATGGAAAAGGAGGGAAAAAATGGGAGTGTATCCATCAATTTGGACGGGAAGAATTAAAGGAGCGGTAGGAGAGATGGAAGGTTCCTCAGTCAGGAATGGTGATACTGAGTGTGAAACAGGAAGAGGACTGAATGGGAAGAAGTCATCGAAAAAATTTGGAGACGAGTTAGAGATGGGGAAGTAGGAAATTTCTAAATACGGCGATTGAGTCGGGGCTGGCGGCTGAATTAGCAGAGAATTTCTATATTCTTGGGAGTTTTCCGCGGTAATAGAGCGGACACGGGCGCGTATTATAATATTAATCCTCCGGGCAGTGACAAAGGGCGGAAATACTGCGAGAACGCACTAAAAATTTATTTGTCTTTAAAAAGGGACGACACAAGAGAAAAAGGATACTGTAGTATGATCGAAGATCATACTATACTCAGTGATAGTGATAGTGTGTGATATCAGAGAGACCGTCAATTGGTGTGCTGAGCGCCTTCCATTTCCATGGATTTATCCGATCCGTTAATGCCATTGATCTTAGCTTGATAGAACGGATTACTTGTTTGTAATCACTGGAAAAAAGGTTCTCTTCGAGAATCAGATGAAAGGTTCCGACACAACTTTCGCCTCTGAGAACTTTTAAAAAATTTTCTCGAGGGCCGTCAAATCACGGTTTTTATATAATATTATTATAATCTCCCTCGATTACTCGGGTTCGGATTGATGAAAAAGGTTTTGTTAACTAGTAGTAGAATTTTTTCTCGTTCTAGAATTGATCGATATTCAGGATACGTTTTCGGGAAGAAGAGGATGTTGACTGGACTCTGTAGAGTGTAAGCAAGTATCATCTCAAACTTTATGACGATTTTTTGCACTAAAATTATGTGCAATGGAGCGTTACGTCAAGGAAGCGCACGTGCAACGTCGGCATGAGCCCACTGAATGCTTCTCCCCCAGAACGTCGCGTGTCACTTTTAGATTTTACGATCGCGGATTCGTGAGAATCGTCCGCGACTTGACCGTTAAAAAATGTCTTGGCACCGCTCTTACGCTCCCAAATGACATATTTATTATTATTTTTTTAACCGCGGTGTCTGAGGAGCACAGATTCGTTCTTTTCGGTCCCGCTGCTCGCACACATGCACTAATTTTTAGTTTATCGCTGAGCGACATTTACAGAGATACTGATTTTTTCGCTTTAGTAAATGTGGGAAAAGAAAATTTTTAGTCCTTTCTCTATAACGACTCAATTTGTTTGTTACTCGCAGCGTTTCCATATTTCAACGTACTTCAAATCTCTATGGAAGAAGAGAGTCGTGGGGATACGCTGGACGTAACAATATATTAAATTAAAATATTATAATTTAAATATGCAATTTACCATATAAAATAAACGTACCATATAAACAAAACGTAGCAAGTTTAAAATATTAGGATGTATAAGCTTAAATCCGCTGTTTTTTAATCAGAAAAACATATTTTTTTTTCCTAGGAAGCAAAAATAAATTTATTCAAAGTATGGTACTTGCCCTCGCTAACTATACATTTTTCTCATCTTTCGGGCAATTTATATATATCACACCAAAAAAATTCCTCATCTTTCGAGGCAAACTACTCATCAAGCCATTTTCGGACATCTTCGTAAGAATCGAAGTGCCGCTCAGCGAGCGTGACCCATCGACGAAAACAGATGACAGTCAGAAGGTGCCAAGTCTGGTGAGTAAGCGGGATGGGGTAGCACTTCCCAGTTGAGTGTCTCCAAGTAGTTTTGGACCATTGTTGA